CCACTAGAGCTGAGGCTGTATTTCAGGTGTCTCTTTTTGTACAAGAGACCAGACATGGAGGATTGTCAGGATAACAAAAGGACATTTCCCAGCCTTCCAAACACTTTGCAACAGCAGGTAGAGACCTCTCTGAAGAACAAAGTTTATCTCATTACTTCTCAGTGTCAAAGGCAGAATTTCACTAATGCTCCCAGTCCACTAGAAGAAATGCCACTTAAATGTCGTGTTAGTCAATATTGCTTGCCTCTCAGCCACAGGACACTGCTGCTGCCAGTCCCTTTTTTGTGGGGGTACGTGAACACAACTGCTCCGCTCCTGCATTGCCAACAGCCCTTCTTGCCTCCCACCTCAGCTGTTTCGCTTATGCCAAAACTATTCAGATCGCAGCAAAATGGTTCCTTGCTAAATGTACATCAGGAGCCCCACACAGGTCATGTTGCTTCTGAAGAGGTTAGCAGCTCCTCCAGGAAAACTCATACACACTCTATGACAAGCAGAGGAATTGTCAAGGGGACTGCAACCACTGCCTGATGGCTCAGGAGTCTGTGGCATAATCCATGCACCAGCTCCCTGCTCACCCAGAGCGCTGTGAATCAGCAGGCTGTAAGGCAGGCAAGGCATTCCCAGCAGGAAGACAATGTATTTTGGAGGCTACAGGCAAATGAAAACACATCCAGTCCTGCTTACCTAAACAGAGTGCAGGGAGATGAGCACAAGAAAGGAAAAAGAGAAAAAAGTGAAGTATATCAAACTTGGAAAATCATTCTCTGAACATCAGATGTCTCACCTGGCTATTCCATACGCACAGTGCAATGCTGCTACCTGACAGATGTATCCACAAGAATTCACCTGACACATTCTCAGGGAAGCAATTAATCTTGCACTGTTTAAGAATTAGACCGGTTTTCAAAAAGTTTCCAAATGAAAAACACTCCTGAAGGGCACCTCACAACGCTGCTCTAATTACCGTTTTACAGAGTGCGTGGCAGCAACAGCAGGCAGCAGTAGATACAAAGAATTGTCAGGGCAGCGAGCAGTGGAACAGGCACTGCCTTGGAAGACTAGCAACAGTTTGACAACGCAGGAACTAGACATACTGTTCTGCTCCAGAGGTCGTGGACAAGGACTTCTGAGCTCCAATCCATAACCCAACTGGAGTCAGCTGTGGCAACTGGCATGGGAACCTGCCTGCCCCAGAGCAGAGCCCACTCAAGACGTGATGCAGCACTCTGGGGGAAATGTGTTCTCCCTCCTCTGCAGGAGCAGTAATCTCGTTGGGGAGAGGAAGAGGGGAGGCTGGCCACAGCAGCCAGCTCTGCCACAGTTCATCAGGGTTCCCAACCATGACGTGTAAACCCTTTCCCACGCCCTTTCAAGCTGCCAGCGAGTTTGCCACCTCACATGTAGAGGTGTGCCCAAACAGCACATGCCCTTTACCACAGCTGAGCCATTTGCTTCCAGCTTCACACTGCCTCATTTTGCACCGACACAGGTTCAGGACACTGCACCAGCACTAGGGACAAGCCAGTGTCAGCTGACCCTGCGGCCTTCCTACAATCTCAGCCGTGTGCCAAGCAGGTCTCATAAGCTGGACAGCAGCTCTGCAGCCTCTCCCACAAGCTGACTGTCTGCAAACTGCCCACGGCTCACCTCCACCAGAGCACCCTGATAAGCGGGCACAGCTGAACCTCACCACAGGGAAAATGGGAGCTTGCTCCGCACAGGGCCCTGGCAGAGCCACAGAGACTGAGTCAGCGGTGTGCAGATGCCTCCTGAGCACAGGAGGCTGTGGGAGCAGCATGCTCAGCCTCCCCAGAGCGTGCTGGCAGGGAACACACTGCATGGTGCACGCGGCCACGCGCCCACACACAGCTCAGCAGCGACCTGGCATTTCTTCCACCCCTTCCAAAGCCAAATTCAGACCATCTGTTGAAGTATTTCTGCAAATCATCCCTCTTTCAGGAAGGGCCGGGGGCTGAGTTTAGTTGTTTATATAGCGTCTGGCATTTCTGCAGTGCTTATCACTTCAGTATCCAAGCTATTTCCTTCAAGCTCTCCATAGAACCAGTGTGAGGCACCAGTGAAGCTACATTGTAAGTTCCTGCAAAAAATTAAAAAGGCCATCAAAAAGACGACAGCTGCTCAGGTCTTGCACACATTTAGCTGCTAATAAGGTAAGTGGGTAGTTCAGGAGAAAGGGTTCGAGCCAACACAATGAGTTTTATGTCCTTTAAAAAACTACTATACTTACAAAATAGCCTTCATAAACAACAAGTGCTCCAGCTGCCTTACAGAGAAGAGCTCAGCTTGCCCAGGGCATGGAAAAGGAGGCAAGTACTGCTATCCTTGAGAAAGACAAGACAAACTGAAAAAGGGAGATGAAACACCTAGAAGAACAGACCATTTACTACATCAGATCACACTTTCTACAATAGCTGTCATGGCCACTGTGTATAAGTGGTAAACCCTTGGAGTGCTGCTATTCCCACTGGATTGTAAGAGACAGAATCAGAGACAGACATCTTACTGCTTACCCCAGGCCATGCTCTAAATCTGTATCAAAGGAGAAAGCAGGACCCGAATTCACAGTAAGCTACTCACACAGCCTGACCCTAAAACACAATTTCTTCTTTTTTATAAATCCCTAACAATCACAGAGCAAAGGGAACAGCACAGAGCAGGGCACCAAACATGCTTCCAGTCTGCACATGGCCTTGAAGGTGTTTCCATCCCATCAGACCCATCAGGCAACAGGGAACTGCCCTTTTCTCTGTCAAAGTGTGCAGGCAGCACACCCATTAAGGGCAGTAAGGTGTCAGACACCACAGTGACAAGGACAGAGACTGATCAGCAGCAGCAGAAATTAAGATGGTCTGGCCTAGACTAAGGAAACCACATGCTACAGCTTCATTCCAGACACTTATCCACATAAAAGCCAGCACTTGTCCAGCTCGGAGCTCCCACACCAAACAGCACAACCTTTTGTCAAAGCTAAAAGACTTCACTGAAAGCTGCAGTTGAATTCAGAAACAAAGGATCATGGCTACTGGACTTATTTCTGGCTTGATCCAAATCAATTGCTCACTTGCACTGCATCTCTTTCCTACTAAAATCATTTGCAGAAAGTCCCCTATCTTTGTGCTCTAATTAAAAAAGTACATAACTCTTTTCCCAAACACTTCCTCCAAGCCAGTTACTCACCCAGTGCAGAAGCATCACTGTCCTATATAAAAGGGGAACATTTCCTTCTTCTTCCCTCTCCCCACCCTGCCCACAAAGCTCCTCATAGCTGGGACAGCTTTTAAATTGACAGTATGAGCCACAAACATAGAGTCAAAAACTCCAGGTGGGGCAGGCACAGTCTTTGATGTGACTTAGTCATTTTCAGCTCCTCAAATTCATACTATTTGGGGAAACTTAGCTGGGTCAAAACCAGCCTCTCTCCTGCTGGCTTCTGGATAAATACCTCAGACCCAGGAAAGAAAAAAAAAATCCAGACAGCTCTCCTGATATGCCACACACCAGCATCACTGCCAAAGGAAGGAGGGCACAGGAAGGTCTGACAAGACACAGTCACCCACTGACAACTGGACTACCAAAATGGGAGCAAGTACCAGTTACAAAAAGGTTTAACAAAATAGAGTAAGTCTACATTCCTGTGAGCAGCTCACCACAGGCTGTACTAAATTATGATCAACAGAGACCCCATAAATTAAATAAACAGTAACCTATCATATTCCTTCTGATACCTCTCCCTTCCCTGAACATATAATCTCCATGTAGACAGCTGACCTAAGGCAGAAATGTTCAAAGTTTTTGTATTTGCAGATGCGTAAGAGAAAACTGCCAGACAGAAATCCAAACCACACAGAGTGACAAGGTCTTTTCATTAGGTTTGTCTGGGATTTTGCCTTGTTTTCTAAAGCCTTTGTACCTCCTGTTACTTTATCTTCACAATAACTCAAACTACCAGACAATCAATACTGCAAGGTTAAAGCAACATCCAGGTTTGGCATTGGACAGCTCAATCCACCTCCTCCTTCCTGCTATCTCTGTGCTGGAAGGCAAACAAAAGAGAACAGGAAAAAATATTTATCTGCTGTTAGGATTAGCTGGAGCAACACAGTGTTAGCTTCTAGCAAGCTGCCACTGTCAGCTGGATATGGCCAAGCGACAGTCTTCAAACCAAGCAGGTTTGGAGTCCAAAAGGACTCAGCCTTGCTGAAGGAAGATGGCTTCATTACATCATGGTGCCAGAGAAGCTGTAACACACTGCCATGTTAGACCTCAGACACCTCTCTGGCAGAGAATAGGCACCTGCAGTCACATCCCTGCTGTCTCACTGTCAACTGTCTCCAGCAAGGCTGGAGTGCATGCAGTCATTTATGAGGAATGCACCATGGAACACAAACATGGTGTTAAACATGTTCAAGAGTAACAAATGAAAACAATGCACAGCCTACATGAGGCAGCATCTCTAACTCATTTGCCATTATACGTAATTGACAATTCCATCTCTCCCAGCCTGTAGTACTGCAGATGTTTGGTCACTTCTAAGAGAGTCTGAATATGCAATCATGGGCATTAAAGCAGGCTTTTGCATTTCCTGAAAACACAGTTAAGGATTTAGGAGAATGCATCATGGATGTAAAAGGAATAATTACCAGTCCTTATGTACCTGCAGTAGAAGAAGACATAATGCTGTGAACAGGCAGATTCTTCCCTATTCTGCAGTGTTGTTGTAGAAGGAGCAGTACAGACATTTATCCTATACAGTATTGCAGATTTTAACAGGAGAGCAGAGGCAGCTGGGAGAAAGACATGTCCAGCTGGAAGCCTAACAGGACATTAACAAACTTGTAAGTGGCAGGCCAAACAGGCTGTGGGACCAGACTCTTCCTGTTGCTCGAGAGCTCCCACTCGATGATGAGTTTGATGCTCAAACTCAGCTGGTGCAAACTAAATTTGCTCCACTGTCTGCCAGAACTGTATCAACTTACTCCAGTAAAGGGTGAAGATGCTCAGCTCTGGGACATCACTGACGGGCCACTGGGACACCACTGAAGGGACCATCAGCAGTGTAGAAATTTCATTCTAGGGAAAAACAAAGGAACAAAGCAAAAAACTAAACAAAAAACCAAAACAAACCCAAAACAAAACAACAGGGGAAAAAGACGTTTTGAAAAGGGAAGGCCCAGAAAAAGGCAGGCTTAGGAAGAAATTAATCTCTGTTCTGAAAGGCCTAGAAAAGGAGAAACTGCAGAAACTCCCTTCACAGGGCACTAGCATCCTTTCTTAACACACATTAACTGCAGCACTCGGGATCATTTGTCCCAGCCATTCCAAACCTGGTTTGGTTACACATTATCTCCCCAGCACAGTCTCTCTCAACAATGGAACAAACATACTGCATTTTTCCAACTCTTTTCTTTCCCCCTTGGGGCCTAGTTCAAATCTTTTTTATGTCATTCTGACAGCACAATATGATTTAAGGCAGATAAACCCAGCCCATTAAGAGATACACCCTGTGCAAGACATCTTGATGGCATTGGAAAGTTGGGAGTGCAAAAGATTTGCAGCTGCCTGACTGCAAGGGACCTGCAGGGTTAAGTGACAGGGATCAAGTGACAAAAGCAAGCATCATGTGGAACAAGGCAGACCTGCTGCTAGTCAGCAGCAGGGACACCAGTCCCTCTCCAGTTATGGCCAATGCTGCTAAACTTTTCTTCCCACTGCACACCCCTTTCATCCCTCAGACTTCATGAGGTCATCCCACCTTCCAGTAGCTACTGTGAATCTGGCTATTACCCTCCAGGAGCTTTTATTTTCACAGTGGGGTGAGAGTCCAGAGGCTTGCCAACATCTGTAAAACAAGTAACTGCCAGCCCAGCAGCAAACCCAAGGCCTGACCCTTTGAAGATGGAGACCATGCATCCTTTCTCCACACCCAGGTATTCCTTGCTGAGGAAGAAGGAACAACTCATCAGTCACCCATCTTACAGCCTCCTGGCTGCAGATTATTCAGATAAAATCCAGAGTGTGTTAAGGAAACTTTCCTGTCTGACCACCCAGGAGCCACTTTGTCAGTGACACTCCCCCCATTGCAAGACTTTTGCTACTGGGACCAAAGTCCCTTCACAGCAGATGGCTCCAGCGAACCCATGGGTGGCCCTTTTGGCTCCCTGCACATCCCATAGTCACAGTCAGGCAGGGTTTCCTTACTGGCTCAGCCCTGGGTTTCCCACAGCAGTCTCAGATGTCTGGATCCTCTAAGTAATTTAATCATAGTGCAGTGACACAAAAACAGCTTGACCTGATGCCTCTGACCAACCCCTAACAAAAGTATTCCTGGGCTTTTATACTCTTACAGTTTGTGTACCCAGACAGTCTGGGGTCATCCTGCTGAGTCATCAGCTCCTGCTGGATCCCTGTGCCTTTTGCTGCACAGGATGACCAAAGGGTCAGCACCAGGTCACAGCCCCTTTCCTGGGGCTCCTGACATTTCCCCCATCTCAGGGCACAACCTGTAATTCACACTGCAGCTGCACACCCAGCTATCAACACTGGGTGTATTCCTCAAGAAGTGCCAAAGATATTTAACTATTTTCACAGCATTGCATTGTCATCACACACCCTGCAACAATAATGTTCCCTAGATTGGGCTTTAACCTTCAAGGAAAAGCTGTTCTCCCAGGAATCTGCAGAATTAAGCCCTTGGTCAGAGATGTTTGCTTTACACACAGATTTTACTCTAGCTAAACACAGCACAACATTTACTCACCTGGAAACACAGCTGCCCTACTCTGGGAAATTTCTCCCTCCTACTATTTCACAATTCTCAGGATGACAACAGTTACGCAAGACCAGCTGTACAGGCACACGAAATGCTTGCAGCTTCTAAGCAAGACTTTCCCCAAATTTCCCTTATCAGAGCACAGCTCCAAATCCTATGGCTCCCAGGTTCCAAGGCACACTAACCACCAGTCACTGTGCCTCCATCCCTTCTCTCGATTACACCTCTGCTCTGCCAGAGACCTACAAGACAAAACATGACGCACAAGTGAGCAAGGGGCTGCTCCACATGGACGTGCTGCTGTCACCTTGGCCAGACAGATAGGTATTTCCCCCATCTTGCCCGCTAATTTAAATCTTGGCAGGAAAAAGGGAGCAAATGGCCTTCACAGACTGTCAGTGATTTCAACCTTTTAGTAACTTAATACAGCACGCTACCCCTTCCTAAAACGGCAGCAGGAAGATGCTCAACGGCTCTGGCATCCTAGTAAGACATTAACAAGATTGCTGGGCACCAAACAGGACTGCAGACTTTCCTTCAGAGCAGAGCAGGGCTCCAGTTTATGACACAGATCCCTTTTCCATCTCAGCCATCCATCAGTGCCAGAGATCGCCACCACCCTCAAAACATAACGCTGTTTACTACGACAGGCACTCATTTGGTGAACAGATGAGCCCAAGGGCACAGCACCAGGAGAAAAACTGCACCTGTATGAACAACTACAAGTAGTAGCACGCAGTTAAAAATCATACAGGCAAGACATTCAAAGAGGTAAACCCTCATTAAATCCTGGTGTTTATTTTCTGAGGAAGAGGTTAGAGGAACTCTTCCTATTAAACCTTGCCTACTCCTTTTTTTATTACAGCCTGCAAAGCAAAACAGAAGTAGAGGACAAGAAGACAACCACCACCAAAGTCCCACACGACACATCCTTATCAGTACCACTCTAGTTCAGCTGCCTTTTTGCTTGGCACTGCCAAGAAGTGAGTTCTTGAGAAGCAAAGCCACAGTTACTTGCAGTGGCCAAAATCACTGTAGATACTATCCCAACAGCAGCAGCAGCACCACAAAGATCCTAACAGCAGCGAGACTCTCAGAAATTAACATACTATGGTAAAAACACCCACTATTTAACTGTAAACATCTAATAGCTAAAAGACATTAGGCCAAATAAATATAGCTGGGATCCTGCCCTGATACCTGGCAAGGTATATAAACTAAAAGCTGAGAAGTCTCGCAGAAAAGAGGCTGGGGCACTGGAAAATCAGATTTCCACAACTTCATCCTCACACAGCAGCTGCAGAGGGTGCAGCAAGAGGGAGGATGCTTGGGGTCCAATTCCCAGGGTGACCTTGAGGAAATCCCACAGTCTGTCCACATTTCCACTTTCCCCATCCACTGCATGAAGAGCACAATAACCTTGACCTACCTCAAAGAGGCAGGGATCTGGCTTAGGAGAGTCTGGAAGGAGCTCAGAGGGGCTTAGATGCAGGACCTGCGCTGCGACCGGCGCGGTCAGGGAATCCTACGAAGCCCCAGAAATCAGAAGCCCGGAGAAACTCGGAAATCGCTTTCAGTATAAAAAGCTGCAGCTCCGGGGCACTAAAGGGCTCGGGGGAGCCGCACACGTGTCACCCGCAATTTCGCTGTCGCGGGCAGGGGAGAGGAAGGCGCGCCGCGGCTGCAGCCCCCGTGGCCGGCAAGGGCAAGCCCCGCACCACGGCAAGCGGGGGGGGGACCAGCCCCGGGCACCCCCCGCAGGCAGAGGGACCCAGCCCGGGGAGGAGGGGAGGGGCTGGGAAGACTTAAAACGCCCAGGGTGAGGAGGGGAAGTGGCGGCGGGCAAGGGGAGCCTGCAGCTCCGGGAAGGGGGTACATGGGGAAGTCCGCAGCCCCCCGGGGCGAGGAGACGGCCCTCCAGGGCCGGGGGGCGCAGGAAGGGCGGCCGGCACACCCCTGCGATGAGGGGCCGGGGTAAGCGGCGGCGGGGCCGGTGCAGCAGGAGCCAGGCCGGGGTAAAAGAGCTGCATCCCGGCGGCAGGAGGGGTGTCGGGACCCCCGGCGGCGCCTCCAGAGGGCTTGTGAAGGGCCGTGCCCACACTTACCGGGCGGCGGCGGCGGCGGCTCCCGCCGGGGCCGGGGACGGTGCGGCGCGGGGTGCGGAGCTCCTGGCGCGGCGCGGCCCGGCCCGGCTCAGCTCTGCCCCCTCCGGCCGCGTTCGGCGCAGGAACCGCCGCCGCCGCCTGTCCCTCCCCGCCGGGGCGGCCGTGCGTCCCCATGGCAACGCGGGCCGGGGCGCCCGGGGATCGCCGCCGCCTCCCCCGGCCGGGCGCCGGTGCCGGGACTGCCCCGCCGTGCCCGAGCAGCCCCGGCCCCCGCCCACAGCCATCTTGCGAGGCGGCACACGGCAGGAGACGGGCCGAGCGACAGCGGGGGAGAAATAATGCCTCTGTCATCTGTGCCCGAGGGAACGGCCTGAAGTTGTGCCAGGGCAGGTGTAGGTTGGGCATTAGAAAAAGGTGGCTGGGCACTGGAATAGGCTCCCCAAGGAAGTGGTCACAGCACCAGCCTGACAGAGCTTAAGAAGTGTTTGGAGAATGCTCTTGGGCGCAGGGTGTGACTCCAGGGGATGTTCTGTGCAAGGACGGGATTTGGACTGGATGATCCTTGTGGGTCCCTTCCGACTCAACATGTTCTGTGATTCTGTCATTCCCTTCAGGATACCACCCAGGCCGTTCGGGTCACCATGCTGTGCTTCCTGCTACCCCTCACAAAAGCCACCATGCCACTGGCAGGCATTGATTTTTGGGGTTAGCAGGCTCCACTGTGGACCTGGAGTTCTCAGGAGCATTATGTGACCTTGCTGGGACAAAACATCCACAGAGGTCGTTTCATCAGGCCTTGGAAGTTAAACATGAAGGTGAGGAGGACAGCAGCAGCTAAACAGATCTCTGTGCCTCTTGGGATGACCAAGTTCTTTGTGGTGAGGGTGGTGAGGCACTGGAACAGGTTGCCCAGAGAAGGTGTGGATGCCCCATCCCCATCAGTATTCGAGGCCAGGCTGGATGGGGCTCTGAGTAACCTGGTCTAGTGGAAGGTGTCCACCAGAGGAAGTTAGAATTAGATTAAGGTTTCTTCTAACCCAAACCATTCTGTGATTCTGTAGCATCCACCAGGGAAAGGGGGAAAGATCTCCAGGGGAAATACATCTTTAAGAGCCTCCCTCACTGCTCACATACACCAGGCCTTAGGTGAGTGTGGGATTACCAGCTCTGTACCAAGGGCTCGTGGAAGCTGGCAGAGCATCAAAGCACCCTGTGCAATGAATCGGAGGCGACTAGAAAAGAGTGCCTACAAGGATGCTCCCAGGAGCATGTAGGGCTAATGAGGACATTGTGTTCATGGGAGAAGTGACAATTATATCGAGTCGCAATGAACACCCCAGAAACATCACAGTTGTTCACACACCACATCTGAAGACAAGAGGAACTTGTTACCACAGTCAGGGACCCGGAACCCGAGGTGAGAAGAAGATGTAAACCAGAGGCCAGCAAAGCATCAGAAGCCAATGCTAATGGGTTGGATATAGGTGAAAGGGGGATCAGCTTTTCTCATGCACTTTTCAACCTGGGCTGAGCACAGCATGAGAAGATACAGCACTGCAGGTGGAAAGCTCCCTCCAGAAGAGTGGTGCCTGACCAAGGAAGGAGACCAGTGCACTGTGGCCATTTTATGGGTGTATATTGGATAAGCATCCAGCACAAGAGAAAAATTCAAGAGCAGTGGGCAGGGAGATGCCAGAATAGTCTATCCAACCCCACAGTCTTATCTCCACCATGTCCTTGGGAAAACAGGCAGCAAGGCCTGGGTTGCAGGCAGGCTGCTGTGGTGGGCACTGCTGTGGGAATTCCCAGTTTGGGGAACAGCGAAACAGTGTGGGAGAGTTGTGGTCTTTTCAATCCCCAGCTGCAAAACTGCTTCCCACCCCTTTCCTTGGTGGTGGCATATCCCCACTCTGTTCTGTTTTTGTAAAGGCATCAGTGGGTTTCACTGTGCTGTACCCTCTCAGTCAAAAGCTGACCTGAATTCAGTGTGGCTTGAGGTATAGATGTTACTGTTTATCACAGCGTAGATGTGCTGGCCGGACATTACCATCCCCTGGCAAAGAAGAGGTTAACTCTGTCCATCTTTGTGCCGTGTCTCAGGAGGATTGCAATCACACATTTTTATTTTCAGTAAGAACAACTGCTCTTTGTAACCTGCATGGCACAAAGGGCCTGTTTCTTCCGGCAGCATTTAAGAGAGGGGATAAAAAAGGAAGGCAAAAGAAGAAAGTTCGCATTCAGTGAGTGCCAGGTTGTCAAGGTTTCCTCTGCTTTCAGACATAAATTTTTTTCTCCTGACAGACACAAAAGAGATTTAAAACTGTTTGGTACAAAATGGAGCTTCAAAAGCAGCACTGTCTGTGTCTGATACAAGGTGAAGAGCACAGCTCAGGATCTCCTTCCTGTACAAGGCTACATTGTTGTGATCATGGTGCACACCGGGGCATTATACCAGGTCTGTGCTTGTCACAAAGCTTGTCCTGTGAGAGTCCCAAAATCCTGCACTGCTTTCAGCCCACCTGCCTGAGGGGCTGTTGGCTGATTCAGCCCTACAAGGACATGGATCAAGTTCAGCCTGCTGCAAAGAAAGAGGCTTTCACAAGGTCTCCCTTTTCAGTTTCCTTCCCCATTTGTATTGTTTTCTGTTTTAATAAATTGTGGGCTGCTAGTAAAATCCCCAAGTGCCTGGTGAGTGTGGTTATTAAACCAATGGTTAAAAAAGTAAAATTGGGCAAGCTTTGTCACTGCTCCCTTGGCCTGGTGGCCATTCTGGACATGATTCTCAGAGGACTGGTAGACAATTTAACTGATAAATATTGAAGAGGCAGTAATGTAATTAGCACCAGTCAACATCATTTTCTGGAAAAATCAATCCCAACCAAGCCTGATCTTGTTCTCCACTGAGACCACAGGATGTGTTGCCAAAGGTAACAGCGCAGAGGTGTCAGGGGAGGCATCCAGGGTATAGTCAAACAGAATGAGTAAAATGAACAGATTCACAGCTGGCCATCAGCTTGGATGGCAGGAAGCACCCAGAAACCACCGACCCAGCAGATCTGGTTTCATTTTTGGTGCAGGCTCTTGACATTACAGAAGTGAGAGAGGATGTAGATCAGCTGGAGAGTGCAAGAAGGGGACAGCTTAACCCCAGACCTGGCTCTGTTGTCTCCAAAAGCTCAAGCTGCAAGACCACCAGTGAACCCAGTGTATGCGGTCTATCTGTCCTCTCTGCCCATTACTCCTTGAAAAGAGGCTGCAAACATCTTCTTAGTAGATGTTTGATTCAAATGCTGAACAACTGGGAACAAGTGGGAATAAAGTCCCTGATGCTCAAAGCATACAAGTGCACGTTAAAAAAAACATAAAGTAGAATTTTCTTCTTTTTTTAAGTGACTTTTAAAGCAGCTGGGTTGACCCTGGCATTCTAATGAGTAACATGTCATGACCTGGCTTAAACAATGGTGCAGCTCCTGCAACATGTCCTGAAGGGCTAGCAGCCTCCAGTGAGCATCAGCATCTCACAGTGCTCAGTACCTGTGAGGCTCCAGCTGACACCCAGCAGCTCTGTTCCCTGCCTGTCCACAGCATGTGCCACAGCAGCAGTGCCTCAGCTCCTTTGGCAGCCAACACAGACTCCCACGCTCAGCACAGACAACACAATGGAAAGCAATCTCATGCCCTCCATGCTTATCTCCTGGATAAAACAGCGAGGCACTTTTGTTTATTGAGTGCCGATGAATGGCACTGTCTTGGCTGTGAGATCAGCCTCCAGATCCCACTCTGGGCACAGCTGCTGGCAGGGAGCCCGCAACTGCAGCCACCTATTGCCCTGGGAGCCTTTCAGCAGGCTGTTCCCCCTCAGTCCAGGGAGAACACAACCAACAACATCCCACCATATGCATCTGTCTCCACGCAGAGGTGGCGTCAGATTTATGGGGCACTGATCACTCTTTTCCCCTCTTTCCCCCTCTTTTCCCTTGCATGTATGGCCCAAGAGTGCAGATGGGTGCCAAAGAATGCACTTTGAGTGAGGTGGCTCCATGCTGCCAGGATGGAGGGTGAAGTGGATGCTGAGGACACTGTCACCCCACCACGGGTGAAACAGCTGGACCACAGGGTGAGTAACAGCTCCCAGGCTTGCCACCTCACCAAGAGCTGCAGCCAGCTCCTCCAGGCCCATGTTATTTTAGGACCCCAAAGAGCTGATGGATCCATTTGTGACTGTCTCTGCCTTCCAGCCATCATTCGTGCACAGCAGTTGTCACAAAATAGCCTGTTTAAGCAGCAGGATTTTCTTTACTCTGCCCAGACTGCAAAGAAATCATGTCTTGTAAGGGACTTTTGAGGGGGAGACACCATGTGTTCTTGCTCTTTTCAATGCATCAGGATGAAAGCCTCACCCAATCATCTGTTATGGGGATTTTTGAGGGGGAGACACTGAATTTTCGTTCTTCTTTCAGTGCCCCAGGATGAAAGCCTCAGCAAGACTGTCACTCAGCCTGATGCTCCTGCAACACATGAAGGCTGTGCAGACACCAGGAGACAGAAATTTGCAATGTTGAGAGAGAGCATCTACAATCAATATTACAAGCCATGTTTGTTCTCAGCTCTGGCCTTGGGAAGATGCTAAGAATCACAAGGATTTCCATTCTTCTCCAACCTGGAGGGAAAAAACCCAAAAACATTTGTCCTGAACCATTGCTGCTTCCAGAGAAAGTAAAATCTTCCGAGGATATGGCTGAAGAAGCAGTAAGGTGAAGATTCATACCTAAGTTCATATCCTCCCCTGGCTATCCTGTTACTACCTCTCCATCCAGCTTCCCTGTCCTACTTCTCACTGTAATCTAAAGCTTCTCTGCATCAGCCAACAAAGCAGAATTAGAATCCTAACCAGCCAGGCTCATCAGCCAGGTCTCTTCTTCACACAATAGGGAGAGATGGGTGACTCCACATTGCTGCAGTCACCCCCTGCACAAGTCCCACTTACTTCTGGACGTGCAGATTTGATGTTTCTGAACCTGCTGATGCTAAACACCACCAGAAGATCAGATCTGGCCTGTGGCAGAAACCTGGCAGAGATAGTGTGGCTGGGACACATCTTGGGTTACTCAGATCACTGTGTGATCCTGTTCATACCCAAAACTTTAAGTTCTTACTGCTGCCATAGGTGGGCCTGCCATACCCTGGTGTCTCTTTTGATCAGGAAAAAGGTTTCCTGCATTAGGATGGAAAACTCAAATAATTTCTTAAGCTATTTGAGGGGTCTTTTAGAAATTCCAAACTTTACCCTTGCTGCTTCAAGCAGAGGGCTGGCAGGGTTGTAGAAGCATGAAAACTTGGGACAACTTGGCAGCTAAGAGATAACAAATATTATCTCACTGTTTTCCCAAGTTACTCACTGAATGTCTGCAGACAGTATCTCTTAAGCTCTCATGTCTTGTTAGCTTAATCAAACCTGCCCAGCTTCATGGAATCACACAATGGTTTGGGTTGGAAGGGACTTCAAAGGTCCAACTCACCTGCCATGGGCAGGAACACCTTCCAGCTGACCTGGCTGTTCTGGGTTGTGCCCAATCTATCCTCCCTGGCCTCCTGTGACCTAGCAGCTGATGACCACACAGGGCCTGCCCCAAGATGTGGCTCTACCAGGTGACCCAGCACATGGCACTTTGTGTACGCAGCCTGAGATGCATTGAAAACAGGGCACAGCAGATGTTTTCAAGCTTGACATGTCCAGAGTAGAAATCCTGTCTCCCCCTTTGAGCAATGCTAGCTGGTTTGTTTTGGATCACCACTGGAATTCTCAGTCCAGGAGTGAAGCTCAGCCACATGGCTCCGAGGAAAGGTTTGAGCAACAGCCGCCTTCCCTGACCCTTGCAAGTGTGGTCTCCTCTTATCCACAGGGCTTCAGCAGAAACAAAATTTGCAACCATCTTGCTTTTCTAGAGAAAGCAAGTGGAGATGTCTGATTGACTTGCTATGCCTGCTTTGTTTCTCTACATGTTCTGTTGCTGCTGTCAGATCCAACTCTTGCCTGAGAAAGGCAGCCCCTAATCTCTTCCTCCTTCCACATAGGAACATATTCAGTTTTCTGTTTTCGTTTGCTTTTTAGAGGATTTGTTTCCCCTCCAATTTAATCAATCACTTTCTGAATATAACATTTATGTTTTGGCGTCAAACATCCCACAGCATTAGAACTATGCATAGAGGGGAGAAAAAAATAGCCACTGTTGCTGATTTGCAGGGTGATACTGGACTATTTCATTTGGTGCCACCTAGCTGAGATACAGTAGATGGCAACCATGTATTCAGAGTCTTCATCCTTTCCCAGGAGATGCAATACTTTGCTGTAAGAGAAGAGTTAAAAATGCCCTGTAGGACTCATCTCTGAGCATCCCTCCTGCCCCTTGCACATTTTCCTGTTCTACCATCTCCTGTCTGGAAAAGGTAAGAACTGCACTGGTGTTCAGTGAGCAAACCAAGCAGAAGGATCTTAGCTCCAGCTCCCCAACAGAAACTTCTGGATGGGTTCAACCTACAGATCTACTGTGAGACAGGAAGAATAAGGGCATGGTCATTTTGCCTACCTAGTTTCTATATTTGCCAGACACCAAATTCTTTCAAGGTAGATGGAAACTGGAACAAGGGTCAAACTCTCCTCACAGATTTTCAAGACAGATTTAGAGCAAAATGGTGCTTTAAGGACACACAGTTTATTTCTGTGGAGTTCAGGAAATGAATACACACTCAGTTGCAGCAAACACTGTTTTCTTCATTTTAACAATACCAACTGATAAGCATGGTGGGCTCACTTTGACACAGTCCTGGGCTGGGGTTTTGATGCACCAGTGACTGAAAGCCAGTCCCACTCCCTTTCAAGAGCAGTAGTGAAAGCCACTCTTGTGTTAAAGGCTGAAAATATGGGGTGATTCTCCCTTGGTAGGAAAACAGGGAATTTAAGGGCCATCAGATTTTCTTTCCCTTTTGGAAAAACCAGCCATATCACACCGTCAAGTATAAACATAAGCATGTCTGAAGCTGTTGGAGCCAATCAGACCATAAATATCAATCTAAAAACCACAGGAGTCTTGTCTGTAGGCCAGTGTTAAAGTTAGGGTGAGCAGTACCCTCCCAGCATTACCCCTGGGAAAGTGGCATGTTCTATCATTATAAGATTGTGGTTCTAGAAAGTTCCCCAGTTCTTTCCTCTGATTGGTTTTTGAGTGTCACGTTGTTCTGCATATTCCTAATCATTGTTTCTTATTGGACCCTTACCCTCAGATTCCACCCCAAACCTACCCCTTATATACTTTTATATATTTATATATATATATATATATATTTTTTTTTTTTTGTGCTTACCTTGGCCCTGGCCTTTGGAGTTCGCTCTACGCTTGCTGGTCAGATTACCTCATTTGTTGTTTTACCCTCATTAAAGTATTTCTGTTTCGGGTTACTCCATCGTGCCCGTCCTTTTGTTTTATCATCACCATTACTCTTGACCGACATGGTCCCGAGGTAGAAGCCAACCAGACCTCGGCCAGATTCCTACACCAAGCAGCAGGAAATTTTATAAACTGGGTGTCTTCTAACGCTCTTTCAGTTTTGGCATCAAGCTCAGGAGGTTCATGGCTGCACCATCCAGTCCTCAGGGATCTCCTGTCCCTTATCAGTGCAATCCTATGGATGTGCTGACTTTTACAGTGTTGCTGCCTGCACACAGTAAACAGAGAAATTGAACACAGCCCCTGTGGGCTCACTCTCAATTTCATATTTCAGTCAGGTCTTTTACTGGGAATTATACAGCACTTTACTGACAGGACTGTGTAAACAGTTTAACCCCCTGCAGAACATAATCAGGCTTTCCCTTGTATTTTTTATGGAATTAATAAACAGATTTGAGCTTTGCCTGGGCTTTCATTTCTCAACTTTTTTTTTTTTATTTTTTTTTTTATTAATATCTGTAGGAGCATCTCAGCTGGATCTGTCCTGGCAGCTAGAGGGCTGTCATAGTTGGAAGAAACTTGAAGTGGTATGTGGGAAATACCCAGGTCATTTTGTTGGAGATCTGCAAGTGTATGAAGTAGAAAAGGGTTTAATTATGAGAGTTAAAGAGCTATAAATGTTACAGAAAAAAATAAAAGAGGAAAAATGTTCCTACTCCCAAACAATTTCTTGCTTTAGTTTTAAAAAATTTTGTAAGTAGGCTTTTCCTGGTAAAAATTTATTTAGGAGAATTTTGGATACATTGGGATCATGCACCATAAAAACCATAAAATCTGCCAGATCATGTGTGGGACACTGTAAGGTGCATATTAGGCACCAGGAAAAGCCAGATAGCTGGAAAGAGAAAGATACTACTCCAGTATGTGATGAATGCATGACAGGAGTCAGAAAAGAATGTCATATTTTTATTCAAAATATAAATGCCAGGTTAGTTATTTCTTTTGCTGTTTCAATCAATCATCTACTGCAACTGTTATCAGCCATAGCAACTATAGGCTTATGAAAGACTTACTGTGCCTCAAAGAGATTATTGATAAAGATAACACACCTCAAAATAGTGTTTTCCACTGACTCTCATCCAGCTCAAATATTTGCTGCCAAGTCAGCTGAGGAAAGAGCAGTTGAACAGTTGCTCTGATTTCCCACCAGCACCTCAGTGTCCTCAGCTCGGTGCTTGCTTTGGTGTCACTTCAAGGAGAAAGCCAGATGCATGCAAGGAGGCCCAGCCCAGTGGCTGTGGCTCAGCAGGGAAAGACTGGAGATAACAATCCTTGTCTGGGGTATAATACTTACCTTTCCTTAAGTTACCAGCCCAAATCCTGAAGAGCTGTTCTACTGATTAAACTGTCTAGGGTTTTGTATCTGCTGTCGCCTGGCCTGGCTGCAGCCTATTATGAGAGTAATCTGAACATCTGGCACTGACCTTCCTCTCTCTTGGCACAAAGCTGTTTCCTGGAAGAGCTGTAGCTCTGCTGATGCCTGGATGAGTCCTCCACAGAGTCCAGCCTACCTATCCTTTATTTCAGTATTGCCTAACTCAGCTTTGGCCTGACTATCACAGACGGAAAGCGAAGTGCAGCCAAGCTTTGTCCTATTGTGGCTGTGGACGCTACCTTGTGCTTCCTGTAGACTTCTCCCACACCTTCACTGGAGGACAGGCTTACCCTACACACTGTCCCTTCTAGATTAGCCTTGTTGCTCCCTAGACCTGCTCCACCTGAACTCAGCTCATTCCCTGAAGGTTTTTTCCTGGCATAGCCCCACTGCAGCAAAGCCACCCTCCAGGGACACCATGAACTCAGCTGCAGTCTGTCCTGTGCTCTGCAACCCGCAGTATCCAAACAGGAGCTCTCCTCCCATTTCTGCACAGCACAGCCAAGCTCACCTGTGACCTGCCAGCAGGTTTAAAGGGACCAGTCTCCATCTAACTCAAGGCATCCACTGAATTGCAGACCATGCTGTGAAACAGTTAAGTGCTGATTTTATTCCCAGTAAGAGCAATATGCTCAAATGCATCTCTCCAAAACTGGAGTAAAGAACAAATACCTTGTTGGTATCCATGAAAATTACAAACAATAACATATGACACACAATACAAGAGAAAATGTACATTCAAAGGAGCACTGCTGACTTGAACCCAACATGAGACTTGGGCTAGGCCTAGAGTTACAACTGCAATCTGCAAACTGTTGTCCAGTGCTCTGGACTGGACAGTCAGCACTGTAGCCTGAGATGTTAGAACAGCCTGAAATGAGAGAAAAAGTAGAATGATTTTACATCTCTCTTTCAATAATACTGATGGTAGGTCTGAAGCAGCATCAGGGAAGCCACTGACGATTCTTCACAAGGAGAAGAAAATGCCTGGATTTATCCAACCTGCAACTGCACGTTGACTTTGGGTGGTGCAACCTGGCACATTTAAACACACTTTTGTTTTTTCACACTAAGAACAGCCATTTAAGTAATGTTTAGAGGATAATGCTGAATTCAAACCTGTCTTGAAAGACTTGAATTTACTTAAATCACAGTAATCTTTCAAAAAGCTTGCATGTGATTTTTCACTGTCATTAGTGGGTCATTAACTGAGGGCCATTATGAGATGAGGAACAGGAAGAGAAGGGTACCTCAGTAATAAATCACTGAGCAGATAAAAAGCAGTAAATGCTTCCAGCCTTACACAAGATATTCAGGCTGAAAAACCGAGAAGTTAGCTCAGCATGGTTCATGCCAAACCCACAACAGTGCCTTATTTCACAGCTGGTCAGACAAGTTTTTAAAATGCAAATTTAAGTCATGCTTTTCACCAAACTTCAGGAGAGGTCCCACATTCACTACTACACAGTCACATTTCACTGGAAGACTACCCTTTGGAAACTGCAATGGAAAGCTTAATTTCCCTTAAATCAGAATCTCTCCCAGAACAGTTCATGTTTTTGTTTGGGTTTTTTGTTTGTTTGTTTGTTTGGTTTTTTTTAATATGAAATAAAACTGTAACTTTGTCAAAGATCAGCAGTATGTAGGTGTCATCTAAAAATGTGCTTGCAAGTGCAGCAGGCTATTTGTTTCATGATAGCTTTTGGAGCAAAACAAAAAAAAAAGGCAGTTTTTCTAGAAATCAGTTTCTTCTTTCTTCCCCACAAATACTTAGGTTTTGTTTGGACTTAAGAAAACCGGAAGAGATTTTGAAAAAAATATAAAACATTTTCATGAGGAATACGGTTCACATTTTCATGTGAGCAGAACACATCATTAACAGAAATGGCTGAACAGTCCCCACCACATCACACCCAGTGCTTCCAGCAGTGTTTCCAGTTTCAGGAATAAGTTATACATGAACACATGTAACATGAGTATTAATTCATCAAACACTACTTAAGCCACTACTCAGCTGACAGACAGACACTTCAGTCTCTAAATTTCTCCACATTTCTGAAAGCTAAAGCTCAAGGTCATGAAGTAGAAGTAGAAAATCAGTTCATAACTGCACTCTAAACTTCCTGGGACTGGCAGAAGTGGTATGTGAGTACAGACCCAAGAGAATCAATGCCCAGCTCCTCAGGAAGACACTGGCTCTTGAGAAGGGAGCAGCCCCCAGGCACTGTCACTCTGGGTACACACAGGGGTCCCATACAAACCCCATTTTTCTCTGCTAGGTGCTACATCATAGCTATTGCAGAGTCCTCAGTGCTGCTCTCCTGCTCCAGGCCCACCCGGCGGATGGACTCACTGTATTTCTTCCGCCCCAGCTCAATGACATCTTCAATCTCATCAGCAATGTCCTGGCGGCCACTCTCCTTCATGGCTGTAATCAGCTTGCTCACACAGTCAGGATCCTCTGAGTTCTGCTGAGCCCACGAGAAAAGCATGTCCAGGATCTGCTTATTGAGGTCCTCTCTGAAGAAAGGAGGAAGGACAGAAGTAACCAACACGCTCTCCTGAGTAGCAAACCAAAGAGATCTTACCTAAGTCCCAGCCCTGGCTAGAGCCTTAAAGAAGCCATCCAGACACACAAAGCACTCAATGGGCCTGCCTCTTCCCCACCCAGCATAGGGGAGTTGCAGTTCCTGCATGAACATTTCTCTATAAAATGTTTTCCTAATGAAAGTATTAAGAAATACTGAAATAATGAAAGTATTAAGAAATTAAGGTATTTTGCTTTTGAATATAATTTCCTCACAGGAACATTAGTTTGATCATAACAAGTCTAATTCTCTCCTACTGCTTTGGCTTTTTGGTCAGGGTGCATGTCCCATGATGTACCACAAGCTCTTTTTGAATAACGATGATATTCACAATTAAAGCCATAGATCATTTCTCTTTGTAAGAGATGGAGTCTGGCCAGGAATCCAATCATAGAACAAAAGAAGAATGCAACTCAGCTGAACTACAAAGCTCATCAGGTTTGTTATTTCCCAATTTTGTTTTTCAAACAAAAAAGCTTTATTTTAAAATGGCAAGAGAAAATAATCAGTTTCCCATTATAAAAGGTATTACTTTCAGAAGACCCATTAGTCAACCCATCTTTAATCCAGTGAAACAATTACAGTGTAAGAACTTTCAACCAGCCAAGCACTGATTTATGATATTACACTGCAGATAGATGGACAGATAGATGTAATGCACCACTGTTGATTACTGTGTCCCATCGCACCTGTTATTGTATCCTATGCGCTCAATCTGCTGGTAGGTCAGGCCCAGGTTGAGGCCGATGCTCTGCCAGTCAGCTCCCACGCGCCTGGCAATGTTCAGCAGGTTTGCCTGTGTCAGGTACCCAGTCTCAGCATTGCCCAGGTTCAAGGGAGGGAAGGAGAAGCCACGCAGGGGACAGGGGTTCTCATCCCAGCGGGGTTTCAGTTGCTGTGTCAGAAAGAAGAGAGAGAAAGAACATTCTTTCCTCTACCATCTATTTTTGTAGAGGACAGCGTCCAGCCACTCAGTCTCCGCAGTGAAATCTCCTTCCTTCCGCTGCGGAGAAAGGAAGTTCTTGGGGCTGAAGGGTCAGGCTGTAAGAAGCAAGCAGGACACACACTGGCAGTGACCAGAAATGCTCACTGCCTCAGGAAAATATTGAATCGTAGTGCTCACAGTCATAGCTTGCATGGGAAATTTCCTTTCCTGCATTTACAGAGCAGTTTAAAATAAGCCACATCCCTGAAGCGTATTTGCCTCAGCAGTAAGAGAGCACTTAGTCTAGGTTTGTAGCTGAGGTTGTGTGTGTCAGAAAGGGATGTGAGATCACCACACGTGATCGGAAGGAAAGTATTCAGCCTACCAAGGTATTTATTGTTTCATGCTTCTCAAATGTCACTTAAATTCCCTAAGCAAAAATTGCATATCTCACTGTAACATACAGCCTAGCCTTTAAAGCTCACACCAGAATACCTACATTCAATGTTCAAATCCAGCATAACTACCTCATCCTATTGCCTTCTTTTTTCCTGCTGCATGAGCTGTGTGACTAAGAAATTTATAAACAAAACAGATGCTTTCCTTAATTACAGCGAGCTTCCTTGCATACTACATTCTCATTTTTTCAAAGGATCCACCCTCTCTGACTCTCTGACCACCCATTCAACAAGCCTGTGCTTGACAGGCAAGATGAGCAGGAGAGGTGGAGACCACTCCCAGCTCTTCACATTCTGGTTTCAGAAGAGCTCGCACACGGGGAGTGTAAAATCTCCACCATGACACAGCTGGGCAGCTATTTCTTGTGCTCATTCACTGCATGCCTTCTCATGGAAGAAAACAAAATTAGCTGAGCAGGAATGCCATGCTCTTACGCCATCTAGATTAATTTTTCTGTAGGAGACAACTCACAGGCAGTTTGATGGGCAGAGTAGCAAGCCAGAGGGAGTCTGGACCTTTTCTCCTCCTGCTGGCATCTTCAGGGATGCTGTCAGGAACTGCCCCTCGGTAGAAAGAGACCTTTGTAAAGAGAAAGCATACAGTGAGGCTCTGATTCAAGCACAGTGGCCTAGCCTATTGGCACCATGTCTTTTCCATTTGGAAAAGAATTAATTCAGCATTCTCATCTATCCTCAGCCCACAAATATGGTCTCTCAATTACGTGTAACTGGGAGGAGCACTGAGGTTCTGTCATAAAGGCTGGACTGCCTGCCAGCACCCCAAAAATTAATGGCAGGAATGTAAGTCAGACAGTTAAGTGATGAGTGATCCTTCAAGATTACACTTCTTGATTATTCAGAGTTTAGTCAGTGAAATGCAAAGCCAGAGAAAGAGGGTAGGAAAAGAGTCATGCCCAGCGCTCAGAGATTATTATGATGAGTATTGTAAAAGCCATGATGAAGGAGGAAACAAGAAGTCAGTGCAACTGGTTGCTCACCTGGCCTTTTACAGCTTGGCCTTTTCTGTCCACAGGGGAGGTCACATAGATTTCCTTCATGTTCTTCAAGTGGGAGTAAAAAATAAATGAGAGACGTCCATCCACGCAGTCAGGGCGATCTGTGCAGAGAAGCAGAAAGGATTCAACTTGTGGAGAAAAGTGTGCAGAAGCAGATCAGTCATAAAAATAAACCCACCTGGCTCTTGCGCTCTGCAGGTTTACAAGAGCATGAGAAGAAATTAAAGTCTGCAAACAGCACTTTCATAAAGAAAAGCAAACAGAAAAGTTGTGTGACCAGAGAATGTGATAAATTCAATGTCCAGGGGCTGGCTGCTGTGAGTAGTGGGTGGGCTGGAGACAGAGAGGAACGCCATGGAGGAGTATCACCCACAGCAGAAACATGTCTAGGGCCAGAGCAGGACAAGAGGTAGGTAGGTAGGAGCAGAACAAGCCCAGTACTGCCATACCCATATCAATGCTGATGCCTCGCTCAAAAGCTGCAAAAAATTGCTCTCCCTCAAACATCTCCACCATGTCGGATGGCTCAGGTCCTCGATAGCGGTTCTGCAGCTTCTTCAGCACTGGGTCAACCTGACAAAGAAGACAGTGTTTGGTCTGAAGCACATCTGTCCCCTGACCCATGTTTCTATACCCATGATGTTCCTCTCACCTTCAACAGGGAAGACTACTTCATGTGAAAAAGATGTAAACAAATGAACAAACACCCACTAAAAAAGCATTTTCAGTACTGTCTCTATCTTTTTAACTGGTCTTTATAACTTCAAAGACACGGAGGGATTTACTTACTACCATATCCCACTCACTATTCAAATACATTTTCTCTGCAAAAAGACATGCTACAATAGCACACAGCTGAGGACACCCGAAAGTTCGTTTTGACTTTGTAGCATGTGATCACAGTGGCAGTGCAAGAGTCAGGTTAGATTCTTCTTTCTATTTGTAACAGTAAACCTCTCTCACTCCATGACCATTCCTAGCAGGATTACAGACACACCCGAACTGCAGTCTCACTCTGAGTGTCACTGCTGCTTCATCTGGAGACAGTTTTAGCCCAGAACCCCATATAAAAAATCATTGCAGATGTTTGTGTCCACAGGTCACAGGAGGACAGGTAAGGAAAAGGAGCAACCAGAGCAGAGAATTATGCAGGGCTGGATACGCAGCTCAGTAGTGGCAGTCTGATAAAATAACCCTCGCCTCACCAACCTGCACTGCCTGCCAAGGGACACGTTCTCCACAGCTGCACACTCATACACTAATCTGAAAAAACACTGCTGAGGGCTGATACCCCTAGGAAGAGGCAGCAGAAGAGAATGCATGAGCACTTCCCATCTCCTTCTTGACAAAATCAGCCAGATTAGCTCACACTCAGCATAAACTAACCTGATGTTGCATTGAAGCAGATTAAGGAGTGCTCATACATTATGTTCCAGTGTTTGAACTGAGAACATCAAGGAATATAAATTAAAGTACCATTTCTAACCACTCCAGCTGAAAACAAGCAGTGCTGCTACTATGTTTTCACACCTATCCTATGTCAGAGAAGTGACATGTAAACTTTGACTTAAATTTAAGCCCACATGTTTTGCCTCATGTTTGCTGGATGATAATAGCAGATACATGGCCAGTAATAGTGTTCAGATTATTTCAGCAGCCCAGTCTTCAGGGTTTGCAGGGGAGGAAATCAGTGCATGGCATTTACCACTGCACAGAATGAGTTTTTTTCTTCTCCCAGCTCCCTGCGAGTCAGTATCACACCACCAACAGTGTGGTGACAGCATACCCCAGCCATGACTCTGGGCTGGTGAACAGGACCGTTCGGTGCCCTGCTGCCTTTACATCCTACAAAGGGAAGTCCGAGAAGCTCAGGAACAAGGCAGTGCAACCCAGATCAGACCTTGTGCTTGGGGACACACTGTAGCAGGACTTGCTCAGGATCCTTCTTCCTCTGCAGTGCAATGAAGTTCACCTGGTACAGACGCAGCCGCTCATAGACCTTCTTGGCAATGCCTCCAATGTAGGTCTTGGTGGTGTACCACAGCCAGTACCTAAAGACAAGGAATTTTATAAAAAGGAGGGAACATGCTGAGAGAAAGGTGCCAGTGTCACACCCACATGATTGGAAAGAATGACAGGTAGAAACAAAGTGCTATGCCAGGCCTGACTTGCAAAAGGAGAAGGGAAGAGATAGAGTTAATGTCATGGCCTCTGGTCAGAGTGTGGGAAAAGCAAGGCAGAGGAACATCCCATCTTTTCATCGGGACCAATCCTGCACTTACCAGGAGAAGTGAGTGACTTCAAACACTGCATAAAGATGGGTGAATTCCAGCACCACATCACTGGTAATATCATTCCAGGTTTGGCCCTCCAGGTCACCATGGAGAATATGCAGTCTCGATCGATCCAAATTTAGCCCTAAATACACCAATGATCAAGAGATGCTATATGCAGCAGAAGCCTTTACTCATGGCTTTACAAAGTCAACTACAGGTTTGGGTGATTTACTTTGTAAAGCCACCAAATAAGAGTTCATGGCCTTCTCTTCAGCATTCAGGACTGAAATTAGGCCAAAGAGCAGCAATAAGAGGACCAGGCTATCCCATTGCTTTTGGGATATTCTGGCAAAATACATTTTTATGAAGAGTTAAAATGATAGTGTGCTCATTCCCACCAACAGATTCATTCTACAATTCTCATCACTAAAATCTAGGGTTATTAATTAAGTTCTGTCTCTTTCTAATGTACATCCCACAGACTTCTCAATCCTGATGCACTTCAGGCATACAAATACCAGGTAGTGTTATAATGAAGGCCATGTATTTCTTCACAAGAAAACCAGGTGAGGTCAAAGAAAATACAAGTAAGGAGGCTCAGGGTACTCAGCAAACAGAGGAATCCCTGCCATGACTGAGGCTGGTTTTAGCAGTTTTCAGAGTGCGATGTGGCTTAGCATGCAATCATACATTTTTAAATGCAATGGCTCAGCACCTGATTCATATGCAAGGAAAAGAGAAGACGGAGCTCAGGAGGCAGCATGTTCATTTCCTGCTTCAAGCTATTCCCAATCAAAAGCCCTTTTATAATGCATCTCCTCAGTGGGCAGGAGTGCCTCTCCAATCCACCACAGTAAAACCAGCAGTTTAAATACATATGTGTTTTGGCAGAGAAATCCTTTTGACAAGACCATTCTCCCAGCTTTTCTGGTCTGTGAACCCCAGCCCTGATCTGATGGACCTGAACTACCTTCAGCTCCCACTGCTCTGCACCACCACACAGTCAGGGGACACACCTTGCTGTTCCTGCAGGAAAAGCAGCAAGCTTTATTAACAACAGGAAATGCAAAAAAAATTCTCTCTTGCCATTTGTCATTTTCCAAATATAGCATTTCCTTTCATCAGTTTTGGGAATAAGCTGACCTGTGACCCCAGGTGGAAGAGGCAGCTGAATTCTCACTGGCTTGAGAAAATCCACCGTGGAGTCCTGGGAGAGGTAGAGCAGGGGACTGGCTTTGCACTCTGCATTGGCTGTGATTTCCTGTATCTCTTCTGCAGAGACTGGCAGCACCTGGATGTGGCAGACAGCACAGTGAGCAGTCAGGCACCAAATTCCCACACTGCTCACTCAGTTCCTCCAGCACCCAGCAGGCAAATGCTGCTCTTGCTGCAGGGCCCATTGTGAAATAAAGCACAGTGAACTTTCGCTGAAGTCTGGCAACCTGTTGGGGTGGGATGGACTTAAAGTATTACATGAGCATCTAGCAGCTCTACAGAACAACTAATTTTAGTGAACTGATTTTAGAATTAGACCCACATTAGATTCCCCCACCAGCCACAGTTCTCACTGAGCTTCTTTTGCTAGGGTCAGTTTTGCAAGGGAAAAAGAGGAAAAATCTCTTGTGTTCCCTTCATAGCTGCTACCCACTGATCTGCTGGAGGTGCCTTTCCCACACAGGGCAGCATGGAGCACGGTCCATGCTGCAGGCAGGGAAGTTAAGAGAGAAGGTGATCTGAAATGGGTCAGCCCATGAAGCAACCACGTCTAGACATGAATTACCCTAGGGCAGACATCTCTGTTCAGTTCTGTACTGAACATGAGAAAACAGCTGCACCAGAGCTCACCAAAAAGCATGCATACCTGCAGCTTGACACTACGAGGCTCTTTGGTGACTCCAGGAGGAAAGATCACTTTGATGTTTGGATCCACACTGGAAAAGAGCAATGTCCCCTCGGATGGCACTTTGCATTCATTTTGCACAAGTCGAGACACGACAAGGAACCAAGAGAAGTGAAGGACACAACAGTGAGCCACACACTTCTGTAACAGAGGACAAAGGAGAAAACATATAGGCATATAACTTAATACAATAAAGGCAGGAAAATGAGTACCTGCCAAACAGAAGAAAGTACTAAATCAGGGATGAAGCATGGCAGGCTGTCACTCATCAACTTCAGGAGACACACCTCCATGAGAGGAAACCTGGACCTGAAATCCACTACATTTTATAGCAGCTGGTCAAAACACAGCTAATGATATATTCCAAATATATTCACTCTTGGCTGGGCACAGCCAAAGAGGGAAACAAGAACAAAGTGCGTCACTGGTAATTTCAATCTGCTCACCTTTGATTTTCTCTTCCGCTTCACTCTTGTTTTCAGATCACTCCAGCTCTGCCCACTGAAGGTCCGAACTACCACCTCATGCTGGTGAGGTGTTTGAGGTGAGATACATGGCATAGAGATCTGCACCTCCTGCCAAAAAAGCATTCCTGTGAGACACCAATTGAAAGGATAAAACCAAGCCCAGCTCTGCTCTGTGGCTTCCTATGCAGACAAGAAGAGGGAGAGCAGAACATGGCCTGTATGCAGGGAATCAAAGAACCTGCTCTGCCATGCAGTCTCTGGGGAGGTGACAGGAAATGTCAGGTCTGCTATGGACTGTGATGGCAGGAAAAGTTCAGTACCTTCTGAGCAGAAAGGGCAAAGCAACTTTTGTAGTGAGCTGCTGTCAGCCATGATGGGGCTGGTAAGTGGTGTGACTACTCCCCAGCTTGAACACAAACCACACAAACAGACTTTCAGAGAAGGATGCAAACCATCCTCCTTTCAGGCTAAGGCCAGACACTGGATTTACCCTCTGGTGGAGCAGGGGGGTTGTGAGTGAGAAAGGTTATAGCTCAGCTCAATCAGGAGCAGTGGGGAAGGCAAAGGTGCCAGACCAGCACAGCATCAGAGAAGCTGGCTGTGTCCTTTCTGATTCTCTGCAGCAGGATTTCTTTGAGAGGTGGTCCTGTAGCTACTTAAAAGCACCAAGGATAACTGCAGCTATCAGATAAGCAGATAGGGTTACTGTCTCAAAGGTCCAAAAAGTGCTCTCAGAAGACTCCACTGAGCTACTGCAGAGGTAGATTCATCAGGAGGTGACTTGGGTGTATCCTCACCTGCTGGAATTGGACCCCATGAGGCTGCAGCTCCAGGACTCGACTCAGCAGGACATCGTGGTGTCTAAGCTTTACCCACTGAGGATCCGGCATGAGGGATCGGAAGCAGATCCGCAGAGGATCAGAGGTGGCCCCCGGTGGAAAGTAGAAATGGATGCCACAGGCTAGGACCACTCTGCAGCCTTCAGAGGTGACAGTAAAGCTTCCAGAAAAAATGCATGCATTTATGACATTGTGTAGTGACCTCAGCCCTCCAAAAATCAACAGAAGAATCTCATACTTGTGCTTGACTGGCCTACTGAGGCTATAAGCTCCTATACATTCCTGCAATATCCACCATGCACCTTGTCTGGGACCTTTTTACACCACAGTAATACAAGATCTTAGTAACAGAGGCTTACCTGACCTCTCCTGATGCAAGGACAAGTTTTTTTAGCCTTCTGGTACTGGATTTATCTGTGGCAGAAAATTTGGAGAGAAGGAGATAGAGGTACTTAAACCAAGGTAGACAAGAAAGGCTGAAGAGTTTTGGCTTAATCCTAATCTGACAGAAGCTAATGGAATCCTGGTCACACTGCAGTGGGCTCCAGAACACACCACAGCAAGAGGATGGCATGAGGCCTCAAAGTCCCAAGACATACAGAAAATGCTGGCTCTCCCCCAGGGAAACTCAGAAGCAGAGGGAATTAGAAAATTTTTCAGTTTACCCCTGCAGCTCTCAGGGGCATGTTTGACTGCCTGGGCCACCCCCAGGAATCAGTGCTTGCTCTTGTGAACATGAGCACCATTGGGAAACCCTGATCAGATTCCTGCTCATTTAACCACATTCCTCTTGGACAAAGAGCTGCTCCTCTGCAGCCTGTGAACCTCAGGAAAGCAGGAGGTAACTGCACAGCGGAATGCTCTCTGAGGTTCTAGCATGAGCCACCACAGCCTTAGCAAGTCCAGGAACTGGTGCTCACCTCTGCTAAAAAGGCAGGACCCCTTTAGGGACCTCTCCTGATCTGTTTCCTGTGAGCCCCATTTTCACTTCCACTGTAAAACCCTACCAAGAAAGTCCAATTCCTGGGACCGCTGAGCCCTTCAGACTGGGATAGGCCTCATAAAAACATAACTAGTACTGTCTGTATCCTTATAACATAATAATTATTCCAGATAAATAAATGCTGATCTGATTCCTCCCTGCTTGTCTTCTCTAATCCAAACCCATCTACACCATGCTGGGCTGAGTGAGGGAACAGCTGGGCAGAACACACAGCGGCAGAAGCCTTGCAATTACCAGCCTGCGGGGACGGTTCAGTTTCTCCCAAGGGATTGCCTCGGACGTGCACAAATGGCAAGGTCTGGATCTCAGCAGGGATGGCACGGAGGCAGTTGTTCTGCAGATCAAGTCTGGACAAGTTGGGCAGGCTGGCAAGCGAGGCAGGGACCGTCACCAGGAGATTGCTGTGGAGATGCAGCCGACGCAGAGACTTCAAATTGGCTGCAGGTTGGAACAAGAAGTGACCCCCCATCTGTGCTGTTAATTGCACTGCACATCAGCTCGAACCCTCCCTCTCTCCTCAGCCCATGTAAACACACACATAATGAAGGAAAAGCACAAAAGCTTAACATCCCTTTAGCTCAAAATAAAGGAGTGCAAAGAATTAGCTGAGAAGCAACTCAACCTTTTCTGTCCTCTGCTTTTCAGATACAGGTAAGACACTTCTTATTTGTAAGTCTGAAGACTTGCAGTCTTAAGACTTCACAACAGCATCAAAAACAACTTCGGTCACAAAGCAATACAGGACCCAGGAAGCTGGGCAGCAGAAGTCAAGAGTCCAGTTCTGTGGACTGGTCCACAGGGGACAGTGTGCTTTTAAGCCCAGATTTGCATCCCATCAAACGTCAGCTCTTCTGTTACTAGTCCCAGCTGCTACCCAAAACCAGCCAGGCCAGATCCTCAGACATTGTAAATTATATTGAAATCTCAGCAGTGTCGCTGATTCACAGAAACAGTGTGGTTCAGAGAGTTGCTAATGCTCAAAGGCACTGACTGAACCAACCATGATCCTCCTGGATACCCCTTCCATTTGGCTCCAGTATGACACGGTTTATGCCAAAAACTCTGGGGACAGAGACTAAGGGTCTCAGAGGTTGTACCAAAAGCTTGGCAAGCCCATGTTCCTCTCCTCCCCAGTAAATTACATACCTAGGGAGTCCGGGATGCTCAGTAAGCAATTCCCAGAGAGATCCAGCTCTGTGCAGTTGTGCAGATTCCCAACTTCTTCAGGGAGCAATTCCAAAGCATTTTCTGAGAGATCCAGATCTTGCAGCATTGACAGCTCCCCAATGCTCTCAGGTAAGCCTTTTAGCTGATTTTTCCTCGCTGAGAAGAAAGTCAGTTTGCTCAGACAGCCAAAGTCCACAGGAAGTGTCACCAGACTGTTGTGGCTCACCAGGAGCACACAGAGGCTGGGAAGGTGGAGAATGCAGCTTGGCAAGGTGGAGAGTCTGTTGAAGCTGAGATCCAAGTGGGTGAGACACCTGAGGTTCCCAAAGTCTGGTGGCAAGTTTGTCAGGGAGCCACGCTGATAGGAACCAAACTCATCCCTAGCATAGCCACCTGGGTGGAGGGAAGTGGAGGAAGAGGTCAGTATGTTACCAGGAGAGCTCACCAGCCTCATGTGAGACTCAGCACAGAGATCCACAAGACTGGGAGCTATTGATCACAATGAGCAGCACTAACCACAAAGTACTCAGAGAAGTGAATTTTCTGCTCCATGCCTCAGTTTCCTGATCAGTGAAAGGGGTATAATAGTGAAGAGCTATTATGAAATCAGGAGATGCCACAGTGAACCAGTACAGCTCTGCTAAATACATCTGGAGTCAAAGCTCAGAATGAGCCAGGCTACCTCCATTTACCACACTTCAGCAGGGTGGCCCATATACCTCCAAGCCTCCCACTCTCCATCCCCACTTCTTCCTCACTACCAGTGGCCAACACGCAATGCTCTATGCATCAAGGAAATAGTCCTTGCCCTCAAGGCTTTTATCCATGCTGTTGAGAAGCAAGCAGTCCTGAGGACTGAAATCTGCCCTTGCAAGACTGGGGGGCACACATGAGGAAAAACAGTGAAAATGTGGGAGGAAAAAGTAGGTAATTCAGTATTTTGCAGGCAGACATGAGGAAAGTAGTGAAGATGTGGGGAGAAAATTAGTTAATTCAGTATTTTGTAGGGCAGACAGCACAGACGGAGAAGAATGAGAGTTTTGTATCCCAGCTTGTGACACTCAAATTGGAGAAGGGTCGCAACCCTGGAAAATAACTTGAGCAAACAAAAGGAGACTTCCAAACATTTCCACTTGTTCATTGTTTCATACTCCTCCACAGTTTTCTATTTATATCCATATACAGCAGAGGGCACCAAACATTTCTTTATGCTGCATAATGGTACAAAATGAGAGCAACCAAACTAACAGACACCTTGCACTTTGTACATAAGATCTTAGTGAACTACTTGATTGTACGTCAGGATGCTCAGGGTATGTGTACATCTCACAAAACAAGACTGATAAAAGGTACTGCTGTTATTGCCACTTTACTATAGAGGGAAAACACAAATCAAATTATTCATATGAGAAATTTGTGACAGATATAGAAACAAATCTCAGACTTATCAGTTTTCAGCTAGAACCCTGAATTCTGCCCCCAAACTCCCCCTTTCTTTTCTCATTTATTTTTAAAATTCTGCCTCCCAAAGAGCAAATGATTCAGTCTGATACAGAAATTATACAAACTGTATTGAGATCCTCCCACAATAAACAGATGAGACAGTCAAAGAATGATCTAATATTTATAGCTCTAACAGTTATTATGCTTTGCCAAATTACATGCACACCCTTTGTCCTACTTCAGATAAAATGTTGATCTGAATGAGCCTCCTCTGGTTTGTCTTGAACTCTGCTAAATCTACAGTCACTGACAGCAAGCAAGGATTAAGCATGGATTCATACAGACAGAAACACAGCAAAGACAGCTTATTATACTCACAAAAATTAAAGAGGGGCTGAACATTTACCAAACACCTTTCAATCCCCCTCTTGTGCAACTGCAAAAAATTCTCTTCTTCTAGAAAATGACTATAGAAAACACTGTAGCATCAACCCAACCAGACTCCAAAAAACCCCGTCCCCAGGCAGGCGTAGAAACAAAGGGTGGAAATAAGAGTCTAGAAGCTGTATGTTGTTGAAATCTGCGTTCAGCTGTGAGCAAGTCTGAGCCAAAGCTATGGTAAGGGGCTCTGCATCAAAACACTTCCAAGGGCAGTTTGTCCTGTGGATGTGGAGAGGATTAACAAAAAATCTGAGCCTAGAAAAGTTGGATGGTGATGGGCCCAGGAATTTACCTTTAAGCATCAGGGATTTCAGGTGCTTCAGATGAGGAAGGCTGCCCAGTGTGATGTCAAGGAGGCAATCATTGCTGCTGAGCCGGAGGAACTCAACCTGGACCACCTCTCCCTGTTGCTCCTTGAACAGCTGGAGGAAACGGTGGCAGCCGTCAGGATAAACATCCAGGTTCAGTCTGTTGTCTGCAAGGCAGGAGCCAACGAGGGCAGCCCCTGAAGTCCCCTCCCTGCACTCATCCCTGAGCCCCAGCAGCTCTGCCATCTTCTGTATCTCATCCACAGGGTCCAGACATGCTCTGACTTGCCAGGCAGGCAGGCACTGGCAGCACCACAAGGCAGCTGGGACAAGGAGAGGAGGAAAGATGGCTCTGAAAAAGAACACAGGTGCACGATGAAAGCTCCTGCCCCAGTCCAGAGTGGCTGGAAAGAGTTCATAATCACAGCAAGATGGTAGGAAAGATTACATGTATGTTACTGAAAGCTTTGGAGGCAGAGAGCACAGAAATGCAGCATGACAGATGTCACAGAGGCTTCTCCTCCTAGGGAAATCTTTCCAGCCAACATCTCAGCAGGGAATGGAGCAATTACGCACCATCAGAATAAAGACCAATATTAACTTTAAAAGATAGAAATGTAAATGCCTATGCCTAATGCAGATTTCAAGGTGCCTTAGTGGGAAGCTTTACAAGTGAAGAAGAAAACTGGGGCAGAGAGAGCTGAGCCAGAAACAGAGCCCAGAGATAGCTCACAAACTGTGACAGGCTCTCATCGAACCTGGTTGTGAAACCAAGTGTCAATGGGATAAAAGCAAGTGGACAAAGGGCAGCAGAGAAAACGTGTCAGGGCCAGGGATAAAAAAGGCATGTCACCTCTTGAGCTTGGCAATTAAACTAGGTTGTGGTGTGACTATCAGGAGCTCTTTGTAAACCCTGCCACGGATTGAATTGGTAAATGGTAAATAGAAGTTTGATTGATGCAGAATTAGAACAAACTTGGCTGTTGTCCAAGGCCAGAAGAAACAAGCTAATGCCCCAGCAACACCCTGAGGAGCAGTGCTTTCACTGTTAGCCTGTGGGACATGGCAGCACTGATGTTCCCTAGGTACAGTCTGGGGGGAGGCATCACCCTCTGAAAGAGCAGGTATGCCTCACCCTGAAAGAACAGAAATGTAAGGACAGGAAGAACAGGTAGCAGAGCCCAGAGGCAGCTCACAAACTGTGCTGGGTCCTCGTTGAACCTGGCTTGTGAAAATGAGTGCCAATGGGATAAAAGTGAAACAACTGCTTCAGCATAAAGGCGATAATTTCTTGCAATGACATTGCACACAACATGTACACAACCCTCTTACAGATATGTGTAAGAAAAAATTTCATCTGCCACAGCTTTGTAAAACTGTCAGTGGTGAAGGAACCAGAGGGCAGCTCTGGAAGCCACAGAGGCAGCCTCAGGGCCAACAGACAGGTTCAGACGTGGTGCCATAGACATTCCAAAACACACACCTGGACATGGACACACCTAGACCTGTGTATGGACACACACACCCCTTCACCTGGACACACACCCCTTCACATGGACACACAGAGCCCATACATGGACACACACAGAGCCCATACATGGACACACACACCCCTTCCACATGGACACACACTCCCCTTCACCTGGACACACACCCCTTCACATGGACACACACACAGCCTGTACGTGGACACACCCACCCCGTGCATGGACACACACACCCCTTCACATGGACACACACACAGCCCGTACATGGACACACACACCCCGTGCATGGACACACACACCCCTTCACATGGACACACACAGAGCCCATATATGGACACACACACAGCCCGTACATGGACACACACACCGTGCATGGACACACACAGCCGGGCAGGGCTGTCCGCACTACCCTGTGTCCCTGGCCCCGTCACCCCACGCCCACTGTCCGGGCCCCGGCAGCAGCTGCTGCAGCCGCGGCCCGTGCCCGGCCGAGCACGGCCCCGCTTGTCTCACCCCTCCGCACCGGCCCCGGGCACTCAGAGGCCGGGGCTGGGCAGGGTAGAGCTCTGAAGGCCACTTCCTGAAAAGTTCTCGGGAGCCACGCCGCGATCCGGGGCGGGACGGGACGGGACGGGGGAGGTGCCAGAAGCAATGGGACGTGGGCTGGATGCTATGGGGAGCCGTGTTCCGGCGTCCTGCTGCCACAGCAAGGACACGAAAGTAGAATTTCCCGACGCGGCCACTGCCCCGGCACCGCAGCCGGTCGCGGTGCGGCTCCCCAGGGCTCCAAGGGAGCGGGAGGCACGGGCAGCTGCGGGTGTTGTGCTCATTCCATACAAATCCGGGGAGAGAAATGGAACTGGGGCTGCGAGCCCAAGAGGGCGCAGGACAGGGGCTGCCCTGAAAGGAGGTTGTAGCCAGGGGGGTCAGCCTCTGGGACAACAGGACATGCTCTCCACCTGATGTCCAGATTCAGGCTGAAAGAATTTCTTCACAGAAAGGGTGGTCAGGCATTGGAATGGCCTGCACAGGGAAATGGTGGAGTCACCGTCTCTGGAAGTGCTTAAGGAAAGACTGGATGTGGCACTTAGTGCCATGGTCTAGTTGACAGGGTGGTGTTTGCTCATAGGTTGGACTTGATGATCTCAGAAGTCTTTCCCAACCTAATTGATTCTGCGAGTCTTCTGGTGTAAGCTGCACATGGTCCTACGGGAAATTTCTTCAAATAAAGAAATAGTCATTCTCTAGAAGAAGAGCATTTTTTGCAGTTGCACAACAAGAGGGGGATTGAAAGGTGTTTGGTAAACACCTACAGGGAGCAGACAGTAACCACTGACTACTGCTCCAAGCTCTGGCTCAGTTATAACACTGTGAGCATGGTTGTTTTCTCACCTGAGCTACCACGGAAGTCCCATCACACTGGGAATCTCTGGGGCACCGCCAGGATGGCAAGGCAGGGTTAGCCACAGCCCACACACAGCCCTGCTGCTGAACCAACACTCCTCGTTTGTTTGGGTCCCATGGGTTTCAAAGTGTTAACTTTTTACTTCTATTAATTTCCCTAATGCAGGAAATCAAGTGAATAAGCACAGGTGGTGACTCCCATAATCCCATGGTGAGACTTTGCCATAGGATTACCACCTCCCAGCCTCCCAGCATGGGAGCAGCCCTGTCCCTCTTGCAGAGAGCCTTGCCTGAGTGTGCTGTCCCACAAGTGGGTTCTGTCACCCAGTGTGCAAGAAGCCAATCCACACATGGAGTTGAAGTATTTCACAGAACCACGAAGCCATTCAGATTGGAAAAGACCTCCAAGGTCATTCAGTCCAACCCGTGACCAAACACCACCATATCAACTAGACTATGCCACTAAGTACCACGTCCTTTCCTTAAACTCTCATCTCTGGGGAGAGTGACTCCAACATTGCCCTGGACAGTCCATTCCAATGTCTAATCACACCTTCTGTGAAAAAATTCTTCTGAATGTATAAGCTGCACCTTCCCTGTCCTCTTGTCCCATTGCTAATTGCCTGAGAGAAGAGGCCAGCCCCTGCCTTTCTACAACCTCCTTTCAGGTGGTTGTAGAGAGTGATAAGGTCACATCTGAGCCTCCTTTTTTCCAGGCTAAACAACCCCAGCTCCTTCAGCTACTCATCACAAGACCTGTGCTCCAAACCCTTCAGCAGCTCCATTGTCCTTCTCTGGACACATTCCAGCACCTCAATATCTGTATTGAAGTGAGGGGCTCAGGACTGGACACAGGGCTTGAGGTGTGGCCTCACTTGTGCCAAGTACAGAGGGACGATCACTTCCCTACTCCTGATGGCTACTCCAAGATCACCAAGTTCCACCACTGACCAAACACCACTGTGATAACTAGACCATAGCTAACTGATATGTCCAGTTCTTCCCAGAACACCTCCAGGGACAGTGATTCCACCACCTCTCTGGGGAGCTCGTTCCAATGCCTCACCACCCTTTCCATGAAGAAAAGCACAGACACAGGTGCTGGCTTTCTGGATTAATCACCCATTGCCTATCTCTGCGCTGATACAAAATAAACAAATATGGGGACTTTCGTGTGTGGATCTGCCTCATGTGCACCTGGTGGCAGAACCCAACTCATGGGACAAATGGAGGGGATTGTGCTGACCCGGCCAGGCCAGGCCAGGCCAGGGAAGGATTCCAGAGCTGGAGGACAGTATTAAGCTTTGTCAGGGGAGGTCTAGGTTGAACATCAGGTGCAATTTCTCCACAGAAAGAGTGGTCAGGCATTGGAAGAGGCTGCCTGGGCTGGTGGTGCAGTCACCGTTCCTGGAGGCGTCTAAGGAAAGACTGAATGTGGCACTCAGTGCCATGCTCTAGTCGACAGAGCGGTATTCGGTCACAGGCTGGACTCGATCTCAGAGGTGTTTTCGGATCTCATTCACTCTGTGACTGTGATTTTGGAGAATCACGACCATCCCAACACAAACGACAGGACGCCCCATCACGGCCAGGACGGGCAATCCACGTTCTGCGCATGCTCCACCGACAGCGCCGCACCCGCGGTCCCCCATTGGCCTGCGCGCTGCCCGCCGCTCCGGCCCAATGGCAGCGCTCGTTGTTGAGGGGTGGCGGGAAGAAGGCGTTGCCGAGGCCCCTCCCCTTCCTTTCGCCGCCGCGCTGCTCTCACGAACCCACGTCTCAGCGCCCGCCGCCGCCGCCGCCGCCCAAGTACGCGCGCGGTGCGCCCCCGCTCCGCGGCAGTGGTGGCGCCCGGCCCACCCGCGCCAGTCCGCCGCCGCCCGTGGGGCTCGGGCGAGATCACTCGGGGCGGGGGGGTAGAAGGGGAGAATGATGGCCATGTGCTCTTCTGGCCTGCCCTTGGGCCGGGTCTGGCGGAGGGACGGGACGGGCTGAGGCAAACGCCAGGGCGGCAATGCCGCGTAGTCGCCTTGTTTCGGGAGAGGTGTACGGTGACGGCGCGGGCCTCGGGTTCTCATTTATAAGCGGAGCCAAAGGATTGTGGCTCGGAGGGAGAAGGGATGAGCTCCCTCGGGGCATACGTAACTGGGCCCTGCTGAAACTACTCTCGTGTCTTGCAGGATGCGTTACGTCGCAGCTTATCTGCTCGCGGTGCTCGGGGGCAATGAGT